ATATGGAAAAAAAAAAATATTACCTGGCTGCTCACCTACACTATATAACATCACAGTCAGCTCTTAACCCCTTCCCCCGCCCCAAAAAGATGGTCATTAATATTGAGCCTCTGAATGTCATTAATTCACCTGGTCTACTAGCATAAAAATAAAGACCAGTAACTATTATCCCCTATGACTCACACCAGAAATTTGGCTTGGCTGACTTGGCTGTACTCCAAAACAATGTTTCACTTTATTCACCTTTAACTCCAATTAGTTATTTCCTTTATACATTGACACTTCCTACACCATGTGTTACCATATTGCCCATTATTTGTTAACTAGCTCTTTATTTTGATTCCAAGACATTATTCACAAAAGAACAGGGCTCACCTTCTCTTTTCCAATTTCCAATTTACTTTTAACCTCACATCAAAGTCTTCAGTTATTTACCCTGATTTACCTCATCTAGCCAGATGTACCTTTATTGATGAGAGGTGTCTGAAACACCAGAGAAGCAATATCTTATATCAGATATTTACAGTCATTCAAAAACTGTTTCTATTGACCCCCATTCTTGAACATAAATACATGTTTACATTGGAAGGCTCTCTAGGTCAAGCTATATCGTTTTCAGCCAACGGCTCCATGTCAGAATAAAAAAAGAAAAAGCAGTGTTTCTCTCCTGGGCGGTCAGGAGCGGGAGACTCCCGGAGCGCCCGGGGAAGTTGGGCTGTCTGGAGATCAGTGTCCCTGGTTAGCTGGTAACCAGGGACGCTGAGCTCTCTGCAAGTGCCCGGAGCCAGCCGTAAGATGCCCAGCTGCCAATGGCCGAGGCTAGCCAAAGGATCAGCCGAAGCTACGGCTAGATCCTTCAGCTGCCTAGTGAATAGACCCCTATATTCAAAACCTATATATTTTATTGTCTGCTTATTTGTATCTGCAATGCCTTTTATCTTTTGTATTGTGTTCTACAACTGTGTAACTTTTTTATGTGATTTGTGATTTGTTATTTCTACATTTATTTTATTTTAAAAACCTTAGATAATCAGAAAGTTGTAAAAATAATGTGTTTTTTTTCAAAATCCCTAATGCCTGTAACCTTTAAGGTCTGATTTACCTTAATCATATACTGTTTTAAATAGAAGTACATACAAAAGTACATCCATGGTTATGTAAAACCAAGAGTTTAAGCCTAACAGTGAAACATTACAATACCCAGTAGAAAACAGTTGTTGTGCTGAACCATATCTTCAGGATAATCATAAGTCAAGCAGCAGCTGGCTTAAAACATACTGATAATCCTAGGAAGTTAATATTTCTCATAGGATGTATAATTCTATTCTTGAAGACCATATGGTGACTAAATACACACAACTACATGGCACTAATTCATTTATGTGACAATTATATATTACTATGCAACATTTTTAAGACATAATCCATTTTAAGGTACTGCCTTAAGCCATTTACTTGCAATCACAAAAGAGGGCTTTATTTGTATACCAAATATTAACATAATCATAAGTTATGTGCTAAAATTAATTTTAAGCTTTTTAATAGCTTTCTTTCCAGGCGTGATCATTTATGTCATTTAATTTAAAGTGAAACTGTGCTTTGCCAGTCTAGGTTTACTAAATTGCCCTCCCCCCTTTCCTGTATGCTATCTGTACTTACCTTCTGTTCACACCCATGCCCATTCTGTTCACACCCATGCTCATGAGTTTATTTGAGTTTATTTGCCACGAGGCATAACGTTCTGCAGAAATAAAGAGAAATAACACCATGGCTTTATTTCTCCTTTGAGCCACAGGAATACATTTACTAATGCACTCCTATGACCCAATGTTAGCACATAGTGGGCTACTGCCTGCTATATGCAGGCAGCATAGCGCCAATCTGTGGCCAGGAAGGATCCCAACAATATTGACAGGATCCACCTGGCTTGCCTATAGATAGCTGGATCTGCTTTTTTTAACCTTTTCTGCATATTACCATACTTGTTTTTTAGGTACTACCTAGGGATGTTCAGATACCAGTTCAGATACTAGTGCCGATACTTGGCATTTTCACAAGAACTACCAGGGTTGCAGCAGTTGCAACTGGGACCTGGCTCTGGCGCTCCACCACTGTCCTGAAATCATTTGTTTGTATTGTATTAGAAAGACTGTCACATGACAATAAAAAAAATGTATCAGTACTTGTATCTGTCAGTACTTGGACAAGTATCAGTACTTGTACATGGAAAAATGGTATCAGTGCATCCCATATACAGGTATATATTTATTTAAAAAAAACAAAAATCATACAATAAAATGGGGATGCACAAATCCCAGGACCTCCGTGTGCTCCTTAAAAATGACAGCTGCCTCCTATCTTTTGAATTTTTCTGTAGTCTAGTCTCAGACCTGGAAAAGTATCTGCACATGTACTTGTACTTGCATCAAGTACGGTACTTGGTATCTGAAGATCCCTAGTACTACCTTTCACTTCTGGAATTTAAACATTCAATGTATTTAGCTGTACTTTGTTCTGTACCATCTATCTCTTCCAACCTGAACCTGCCAGGCTTTAGGGCCCTATTTACATCACCATTTGGAATGATGAAAATAAACAACATTAGAAATCTGGCATACTGACACAGTTTATTCAGCTCCTTATCAACAAAATAACTTTTTATTTGTTATAAAAGCAAATATTATGAGGTCACGGTCAAGTTATGCAGTAGGCAGACTTTTCAGCTAATGGACCCTGTCATGAAGTTTCAGATTGTTCATAGACCCCCGAACATTTATTAAGTGAAAATAGTTTTATAAATACCACTTTAACCACATAAGGATCATATGAGATACCTGTACATTCTGGCGTTTAAGTGGTTATACCAAGATCATGACTGCTGCTGCAGAGCCACCCGATCACATGTACCAGCCTCCAATGGTGCTGTCCCTCCACCACACCCACTGCCATGGTTTTTGGGCTCTCTCCACTCCTCTTGGGGGGCCCAGGACCATGGCAAATGCACTCATGATGTTGAGCAGGAGCAGATGAGGAAACATCCATTCCCTGATCTGCTGTATGATCACTGAAGCAGTACTTTCTGCTGTCAGAAGCCCAGCTGAAATGCCGGTTAAACAGGTGATCAAGTAGAATCCTGTGCATGATTGTCTACAGTGGAGACCCATGATGTCTCCAAAAAGAGAACCTGCCAATGCTATAGGCGATGGTTAAAATACATTTAAAAAAATAAAATTTCAAAGCAAACCACCCACCCCCTACACGGGAATGCACCTTGGGTACACAAGTATATATGAACTGCGGCCGTGCCACAATTGTTTGGTATCATTGTGAACATTTGAGTGAGAGCAATGTATTTAGTGCCTTATTTTGCTGTTATTGCTAAATTGATGAGCAGTAAAGGCTTTTGAAGCAGCACATATGGCCAATTTTGGGATGGGGACACTTACTAGATATTCAACAGAGTTTGAATTTGACTTACTGGCTCTCCAACAGTACTGGAAGTGAACAGGTAGGTATATATCTTTCCCAGAAGGGGGATGGTGGAAGGTCTCAGACACACACGATATTGCAAAGCATGCTGGTAAATAAGGCCAGTAACACCACAAAGCTGATAAAGAAAACCCAAGCCTTCTTTCGATGTCAGCTTACCATCCAATCTTAACACCTCACCTTCAGGATTAGGGACTAGCATGGGGCTTTACAGAGACCGCTGAAGATTAATTGACCCCAATTAATCTTTCGTTATTTATCAACAACCAACTGAACTCATTAATTTACTGATCTCCTTTCAACCCTCAGCCATTTTATTAACCCCATGACATGATTCCAAATAAAAGTTACAGAACAGAGCCCAGATGAAAGTGAGGCTAATGAGTAAAGAGGCAAGTTAGGTATTGTAAATGAATTAATTGTGTGCCGCACACAACATTTGAATGCTTAGTTTGTAAAATGGGGCTTTTTTCCATGAACTATTTGACAATACACATCTCTGTGACACCTGCACATATAGAACATACATATTTAGGCCGAAATGCTATCTCATATTATGTTGCATGTTTGAGACAATTCTGCGACACTTTCCCAACTTCTCCAAAGTAGCTTTTCTGCTATCATGCTATTGTATCCAATGAGCAATACAAAGCTTACGGCTTACAACAGTCTCTATGCACAACTACTGTTAGATGAGAGCGCAAGAGAAATGGTATTGTTTACTCTAAACAGCCATTATATAAATTACGTTTTTTGTTTATTTTTTTTCACTTGTTTAAATTCTACCCTTTGTCCTAAATCTTTAATAAGATATGGTACCTATTTTTTCCACAGCTGATTTTTCTTTTCATATTACAACTTAAAAGCTAAGATAAATAAAACCAATCTATCCCACTCTTCCTGGAGTGAAGTTGTTCCCATGTTTAACATAAGAATAACAGTTGTAGAATATCATTCAGCTTCCTCTGGGCTCCCAGTTCTTACTGATTTAAAAGCATTTTTATCTATGTCATTACAGTCACTCCTAACATTTAGGGTATCTGTAGCGTCAGCCGTCATCTTCAACTAAAAAGATTACTTTGTCACTTCTCACTTTTTAAAGAACTTTGTGCATGCTCTTATCACTATCTGTCTAGACGACTGTGGTCCTTCCACATTCCCTTCCTATATACTTATGTAACTACAGTTTTTTTTCCTGTATTGTGCTTTAGCACATCCAACATTACGTGTTACACTGAGGGATTCTGACGAGTAGTAACATGAAAGCAAACTGGTACTATGGCCTTTCCTTACAGAAATAAGGCTATGCCTATTAAAAATATTCCAGTCATAGAATGTTTCCCTTTTGCTCTCATAATAGATCTTGGTTCATTTTTTAGAAGCCATCTGTTCTATCCTGGCCAAGTTCACACAATGCTCTACTCAATGACAGATTTATTGCAGTGATGCCTGACACACTATAGATGCAAATTTAATTTATCAGCCAACATATCATCATCCTATCTGTATCCTTACATTACCTTGTCTTTTCTTTGTTTCTCATCTTGATAGACGGTCCAGTGTTCTCCATTATTACTGAAGGCAAGCTTGTAAGAACCTACAAACTGCACATGTCCAAAGTCTTTAGCTCCTTGTGTAATGATTCCTGTGACCTTTGTAGGACGAATGAGATCCACCTAGAAGGAAACAAAGGCAATATTTTATTACTGACAAAAATATGTAATGCAAAAAGTTGTCAATTTATGTTACGGATTTATTCTGGGTAACTGATAATGTACTTTATCTGCAGTGGCCACATTGCAGCACAGCACTGACAAGAGATATAGCAGAGACAGGTCAGACAGCAAGACAAAAAGTGACGAACATGAAACAGAGAGACAAGCAAACAAAAGAGATTAGAGATGAAGTATAGAGATGTAAGGACAAAGTTGATGAGAAAGAGAAAGAGACCACAAATTCAGACTTACAAGAAGTCAGAGGAATATACAATATGACATTGTACTTCACCTGTAAGCTATCCAGACTCCAAGTTTGTGCCATTACTAAATTAAATTAAATAAAAGCGCAAGCAAATAGCTGACAACATAAGCTGTGGGCACATACCTTTTTTTATTGTCATTTGAATGATGAGCCCCACATGACAATACTCAGACCTGTTGCCAAATAACTAGGACACTGAACATTCTATTGTGGGATACAAGCTTGGGTTGTGCCTTTCCTTTATTACATTTATGAAGTAGCAAAACTTCAGCACAGACCCGGCAAGATAACATATTTGTGGACAGTTTATACAGTCAGGTTTTTGCCTGCATTTTTTTTTACTTTAGGTGATTTACACTGCATGTACGTTTAGCATTAAAGGGGCCACAAGACTTGCTATGTCATAGAAGCATCTAGAAATGCCAATTGTGCCTAAGCAGTACCCTGAAAAATCTACCCTTTGCCTTGAACTCCTGTTTAAAATTAGCAGTGCACCTTATGTCACTTGAATTTCATAGCTGTAAATCTGCAGTGTAAGATCATCTAAGGCACTGCTGCCACTGACTGTCAGTCTCACTAAGCTGTAAATGAGTTTAGGTGCTATCACTACTGTGCTCCCTGATGTTTTATTTGCTGAAAAGGAAGCTGCACTTGAGGGCCTGCACTGCATACATCGTTATGTTTCTGTTTCATCCATTCTGTGGATCTGTGCTTCCTGCATCTCTCCTGCTGTTTCCTGATCATGACCCCACCAGCCATCAGAACACCAGTCGTCTAGGGGGAAGCAACAAACGCAAGGAAGCAAAGCCCTGCCTCTACCAACATGGCCGTCTCCACACAAAGAACAAGATATGGTAAGTCAATAATGGGGAAATGGTCATCAGGGAGCCTACAGGAAAATACTGGTGTCTTAGTCTTTGCCCACGGCTTGCTTTTTTTTGGTTACAGCTTCCACAGTTCAGGTTCTCTTTAACTCTTTTGTGACAAGACATCATTGATGCCTAGATGTCCAGGCCAAACTTTGCAGTGTCGGTTAACTTAAATCGACAAAAATGTAGCTTTATTTGTGTATCACACTGCAGATCCTCAAAGTATCTCTGAAATGGTGCTGACACTGTCCTTCCTTCTGGTGGATGCTTACTTTTGTTCCCCATGGTCCCTGTGTTTGTTGTAAAGTAGCCACCACTCCAAGATTGAATGCATCGTTAAGATTTAACTCCAGAGTGTCACTTTACCAACAACTGTATAACTCATTGACACACCTAAATACACATACATTTTTAAACATATTTGTGAAGGACATGTAAGGTTTTATTTAGTACACGTTTTCAATTAAAAAAAAACTTATTACAGGGTTACAAATGTGAATTTTGCTAAATTTTTTAATTATTATCATTTTAACAGTGATACTGTATCTGACAGTTACATTATAAAAAAAAGATGGCAGTACAGATGAATAGTGATGAGCCGAACACCCCCGTGTTCGGTTCATACTCGAACACCCGAACGGCTGAAAAATTCGAATACGAACTCGAACCTAATGCAAGTCAATGTGGGTCGAACTTTCGAAAATGATTGTCCCCTTTAAAAGTGCTTATATGCAAGTTATTGTCCATAAAAGGTGTATGGGGGTCCGGGTACTGCTCTCGGTGACAGTAATCAATGAAAAAAGAACCAAACAAAAAGGTTTTTAAAGGAACAGTGATCTTAACATCACTTAAAGGGTAAGAATAAAAATGAAAAATTCCTTCAAATATTGTGCCTGGGGGGTCCCCTTAACCTGCCTGTGAAGTGGCGGATCTGTAGGCTGTATAGAACCTGCTGCAGCAAAACTGACATTTCTTTTTAAAAAAAAATTAAATGTTTTGCTTTTTACTCTTAAACTGCGCAGTTCCCCCTCCAAAACAATACCAGACCAGAATTTTAAGGAGGAACCCCACACCCAATAATAGGGGGGGGAACGTGGGGTCCCCCCTAAAATTCCATACCAGACCCTTGATCCGAACATAGGCCTGGCAGGGCCGGAAAGGGGGGGACGAGCGAGCGCCCCCTGCCTCCCACAAAAGGCCACATGCCCTCGGCACTGGGAGGGTGTCCCCGTGCCGATGGGGACAAGGGCCTCGTCCCCACAACCCTGACCCGGTGGTTTTGGGGGGTCTGCGAGCAAGGGGGCTTATTTGCATTGGGGTACCCCTTTAATTAAGGGGCATCCAGAGGCCGCCCCCCTCACTTGTGAATGAGTAAGGGGTACTTGTACCCCTACCCATTCACTAAAAGGTTAAATCAAATAGTTATTAAAAAGTCCAGACTTTTGATAAAATACTTTAATTGAAAAAAAACCAAAAGACGTGTTTTTGACAAGTCTTTTATTTAAAAAAAAACAAAAATGGATCCACTAATGTAATTCATGGTCAATCATGGCATCCACCGTTGTCCACCAACGACGGAATAAAAAAATAAAAATAAATAGAAATAATAATAAAATTTAAAAAAAAAACACTGTCCGCCGTCCCTTCCGCCCCCCGACCCCATAACGACATTTTGAGAGATGCCGGCAAAACATAAACAATTGGGGGGAGCTAGCGGTGACATCTAGCTCCGCCCAATTGTGTAGTTTGCCATCATTAAGACTTTGCCCAATCATAGCTCCAAATGAGTACTGAACCCTGATTGGGCAAAGTCTTGCACCTGACCTGTGGTCAGGTGCAAGTCTTTAACCAATTAGAGCTTCGGAGGGCTCTTTGTAGTATGGGACGTTGCACGGTTGAACAGACCACGAACATCCCATAAAGTTCATCGTTTGGCGAGCGCTCAAGCAGCCAATGTTCGATTCAAACTCGTGTTCGAATCGAACCGGAGGACCATCCCTACAGATGAACACAGCCGCCTCAATGTGTTAGAATTGACATAGTGATCACATGATTAGGAACCACTCTGACTGGATAGTCATAGTCAGTGGGGAGCCTGGATGCAACTGATTGCTGGGATTGAGCACCATCAGCAAGGGTAAGTGTCTGCTGCTGGCTATCAAAGCAGAAAACATTTATTAATATGTCCTCAGCATGGGGCATCATGCTGGCCAACATTATATACAGTTTGCATGTGGGAAGGGGTTAAAGGCATAATTTAGTAAAAATTCAAACAGAAATAATACACTAAGGGGGTTATTCACAAAGCTGCCCAAGGTAGCTGAGTGAATAACCCACCTAAAGTGAAGTAAGCCGAACACAGTGTGGCTATTAATTTCAGTCCTGTATGGCTGATTTCAGCCGTACATCGGCTAAAATCAGCCATACTGCGGCTGCCTCCAAACAGCTGAGCCGAAGTGCAGAAGGAGTTCGACTCAGCCGATCAGCTCACTCGCTGCCGTTTGCCCCATTCTCATAGGGGCAGAACGGCAGTGAGTAAATAGCCTAAAGCTGTCGAGTGGCATTCGGTTCAGCTATTCTGCTCGCTACCTCTGAGGTAGTGAGCAGAATAGAAAAAAAGTGTAAACAAATTTAAAAAAAGTTTCAAAATTATTGAAATAAATGTAAAAAAAAATTAAGAAAATAATAAAACATTTTTTAAGAAAAGTAAAAAACAAACAGCGTGGGTTCCCCCTGTCAAACCAGACCCCTTAGGTCTGGTAGGAAATTTAGGAGGGGCCTCATTTAAAAAAAAAGTGTGGGGCTCCCCCCAAAAGTCATACCAGGCCCTTTAGGTCTGGTAGGAATTTTAGGTAGGGACCGCAAGTTAAAATAAATAAAAAAGTGTGTAGGGTTCCCCCCCAAAGTCATACCAGGCCCTTAAGGTCTGGTAGGAATTTTAAGGAGGAACCCCAACCCCCAAAATGGAGGGAAAAAGTGGGTCCCCTTAAAATTCCAGACCCTTGATCCGAGCACAGGCCTGGCAGGGCAGGAAAGGGGGGAGGGGACAAGCAAGCACCCCTCCTCACTGCCATGCCCTCGGCACTTGGGTCACCACTGGAAAAGCACCCTGTCCCCGTGCTGATGGGGACGAGGGCCTCTTCCCCACAAGCCCTGGGGCGTTGGTTGTGGGGGTTCAGGCAGGGTGGCTTATTCATAAAGGGGCATCCAGATGTGCCCTTGTGAATGAGTAAGGGTTACTTGTACCCCTACCCATTCACTAAAGGGTTAAAATAAACTTAACTAAAAAGTCCAGACTTTTAGAAAAAATACTTTAATTGAAAAAAAAACCATAACAAAGGATTTTACATTTTGCCGACACCTGTTAGAGTCTTTCAGCAACTGGGCTACGCCCAGTGGTCATCTGCATGGAGAATGGTCGGCCATACAGCCGATCATTCTCCATGCTTCGGCTGTCACTATGGCTCAGACGAGCCGAAGCATATGCGTTCGGCTCGACTAAGCCACTCAGCTGCCTTCGGCTGCTGTACAAGCATTATGAATAGCCCGTACAGCACCCCTTCGGTTTGACTGAACCGAAGGGCTCCAGTCGAAGCTACGACTGGATCCTTCAGCCCTGTCGTGAATAACCCTCTAAGTTACCCCAAATTACCCCTCTTGCTCTCCTTACTACATGCAAACACATAAAACAGACCTAAGATCAGAATCTACCCTTTTCCATGTGCTTGTGCTGTGTTTTAGCTTTGCTTACATTTGAAACCTAGTCAGCATTGTACAACCTGGCAGGTAGAATTTGAATGTAAACAATGCTGGAAAACATCACAGGT